ACACACACACACACACACACACACACACACACACACACACACACACACACACACACACACACACACATATCCACCCACCTACTACCGTTCCGCCCAGCGCTTCAGCTAACGCACTCACACAGCCACAGCATGCGCGCAACGCGCTCCATCGGTGTGCAACCTATATTACGAGTATATTACATGCGCGCCACGACACGAACTACGCACACACAAATCCAGCGAAAAGTAGGTTCTACGCGAAGATAGCGCATGGAAGAAGACGGCCGCGGGGCCGTGTTCGTGTGACGCGAGGATGTGTAGTCGCGCTGATCGCACGCGCTGCCGACGATTTCCGAGGAGCGTAAACACGACCTGACATAACCATGTGCATGTATACGTGGACACGTTTGGATCAGCGGGAGCTTGTCGCGATGTCAACGGAGAAGTTTACGTTGTCGCGCGCGCGCTCTCTGTCATTGGTATGGGCGTTTTTTCTTAATTACAGCACAAACCGACGGAAGAGCGTGCGCGTACTACTCTACCACCACTTCCTTGCTATTCTATTACTACTAATACTATTGCTGCCACTACCACCGAGGTAGCGAGACGCATTCGACGCGAGTACCAGCGTACTTTTCGCGTAGCATTATTTTCACCGGTCGCACTACGTTCATTCCTCTTTCGTCGTGTACGTCACCGAGATATGCCTGTGTACTTATGTAAATTTATGTACGACGATTCAGGCACACACGAAGCGCCACAAAAGCCCGCTCGTGCGCGCGCCTACAGCCTGCTGCGCGCCAGGTCGACCCGCTACGACACGCTCGATATAAGTCGCTTGTATTTTTTCGCCGAGCATTTTGTCGCTTGCGGGAGAGAGACAGAGAAAGAGAGACACACATATATAGGGAGAAAGAGAAAGAGAGACCAGTCTACACACACACATATTGGTGCGATGGACTTTGAGCCTACATCGTGTAACGCCTGGTGCGAGGACGCGCTCACGGTGGTGTCGCGAGCCACGTCTCTTCATCGGCTTTTTCGACGGCTCTTACGTGCGTTTTATCGCGCGTTAGGATACGTTTGACACGCTTATGCGTCAATTTATGCGCGCCGTCGTGCTTATCTCGCGAGCATCCGTGCGAGAGCGTCTTTCGCTCTTTTGTTTGTTTCTCTCTCTCCCTCCCTCCCACCCTGCTTACCTCCCTTCCTCCCTCCTCTCCCTCTCTCTGTCGCTCTCTTTCTCGAGCGATGTTGATGATAGCATACATGCGAGTGAGACGGAGAGCGGAATTAAATACATCCCTCGCACGACCGCAACTCAAGGAATGGCATCCACGCGTTTTAGACGAGGAAACGAACAGAATAAAAAGGAAGAAATGCACTACAAAGATGGCATACGACTCCCCCACGTAGCGGACTCACGTATTTATAGTCCCCGCGTTTCACGTACGTTGCACCCGTGGCGGATCGCATAGGTCGTATGTGTATACGTGTGCGTGCGTGCGTGCGTGCTGCGTGTACATACGTATACGCACACATGTGGCAAAATAGTTAGACACAATGCAATAGGGAGCTCATTAAACTGTCAAATTGAGAGTCATTACCGATGAACTTATGTAATAATAATATAATTGATAACATAGTTAAGAGAATACTGAATAATAACAAATAATGATAATACTAATAAATTGATAATAATAATGATTAATAATATAATCATGGGGCACAGACTCATCGATAATGGCTTTCGATTTTGACAGTTCAATGAGCTCGCAACATCATTGCATTTAGACCGTTTTGCAAGCCACTGTACGTCGCATGTGCTCGCGTGTGTGCGTGCAACGTGCGTGCGGCGTGCGTGCGCGGGGCTCGCGAATCGTGTAACGGGTGTACGTAATGCTCGTACACGCTTCATTACGCTGAAATAAACGAATGTGCGAACGCGACGTCGCCACGACGCTTTATTGCCCGTTCGCGTAAACGTGTTTATACGATAGCGGGACGAAACGCACGGCCCGCTGTCTTATCTTTCTGGCTATTACATGACCACCTCGATTTTTTCCTTGCCACCAAGACCGCGATAATTCGCTCATTATCCCGCGTCGTACTAAAGTTGTTATTGTTTGCACTGTTCTCCGATCACCGAAGAAAAATCCATCCGCGATAACGTGCAGGTCGTCGCAAATTGATGTTACGTATTCCGCTTTTTAATCGAATCAAAGCACGGCATTGCAATCAAATTTGTCTTGATGGATCGTGCACACCAGCTCGCGCTCTGCTCCATCGCTGTTTATTGTTCCTCTCTCGCGGGTGCTGCTCCAGCGTTTTACGAGTTCAGCGCGAGCCGTACTGTATCTGCAATTGGCTGGAGAATTAGCACACCTTGGAAGAAAAGCAGAAAACAAAGGAGCCAATCAATCAGAACTCACGTAGAAAAACAGAAACTGTCGACTACCACTTGACTACCAGCGCGAGTTCTGATTGGCCTCTGCCTCTCTGCCAAGGTGTGAATTCTCTTTTGTAATAATAACGACTTAACATGAGAAATTAACATACGGCTATGTTGCCGGACATGACGAACTTTCCAAAGACGTCTCACTCCTTGTAGATACATTCATCGGGATAACGAATCATCGATCTATACAGGAGATAGCGGGTACAATGACCCGGCGTGAAGTTGCATTTTGTAATGAAGGATGTATACGCCGCCGTCGCTGGCGTTGCGAAAGTCGTTTTCCCGCGAATCGCGAATACAACAATCGAATAACGTGACGCGTAATATAACACGCGGCCAGGCACATAACGTGCACTTCGATTAAATAGACGGCTTTGCGCTGTAATGGCCGTTCTTTTACTCTGCCAATTGCCAATTAACGTCCCACCGAGTCACCGATTATAATGACAATTTGAGAGTGCGTGAGAAACGAACGTGGAGACAACCTCTGCCGCAGCACGGATTGCCGGCTTCGCGTAATAGCGACTCGCTATAATTTTGTAAACGACACTGTGTTGCCATTCGCGTAATCGCCCATCGGGAAACAATTACCACGCGATGTTATAGAAATCTCTTTATGTGCGCCACAGAATCTTCTTATCATGCACCAGTCTGCGAACGATGCGAAACTACGTTTTTAACTCAGCATGCTGAGGGGCTCGATATGTCGTTGTTGTTGTATCATATGTGAGAGAAATTATCGTAAATGTGATTCTCTTTCAAACCTTGTCGAAATGAGATAATACCCGTTCGCTTTTAATTATATGTCTTTGTCGATTATCATATGTCAGAGAAATTATTGCAAATATGATTTTCTCAAATCTTGTCCAAGCGGGAAAATACGCGTTCGCTTTTAATGATATGCCTCTGTTGATTATCATATGTGAGAAATTATTACAAATGTTATTTTCTCTAATCTTGTCGAAATGCGAGAGAATATATACGCATACTCATTTCGTATTAATTATAAGAAGGACAAGGCGGATTAAAAACAGATGTTTACACTCGCAGGTCCCGCGCATTAATTCTCACTGCCATGAATAATATATCAGATCGTCGTCGATTGAATGTGTATCATCTTCCGTATTCGTGAGTGCAAGGACGACGATGAGCTTAATGCGTACTTCTCTTCTTCTCTCTCTAGATCAGCGCGAACCGTGCTGTATATGCAATAAGGATGAAGACTTAACGTAAGCGATTAACAACCCAGACAGCAGAAACTTCTAAATAAACTTCTTAACTTAGGCGTCTAAAAGATGTCTTAGGTCCATATTCTGAACCCTTTTATCGATAAAAGTGCCTTGAATATAGCTTCTCAGATAATCAGATGACTCCTAAGCTTCTTTTAGAGACACTTTTATCTCTTGTCCACAATCTTACTTTAATTACTAAGCCTTAAGAAATTGACCACAGTTGATTATTTTTAAAATAATCGACTGTGGTTGGTCAATTTATTACGGCTTAAAGGTTAAAGCAAGGTTGTAGACAAGAAGCTACTCTTTCTGGATCTGTTTTACCCCTTGTCCACAATCTTGCTTTAATCTTTAAGCCATAATAAATTGACCAACCACAGTCTATTATTTAAAAAATAATCAACTGTGGTTGATCAATTTCTTACGGCTTAAGAATTAAAGCAAGATTGTGGATAAGGGATTAGATGTCTCTGAAGTCCATTCTACAATGGCAGTAAGCTATTATAGAATAAGAAAGAGTAAGAAATTGACCAATCATAGTTGCTTATTATTGTCACACTCGACTACGATTGGTCAATTTCTTACTCTTACCCATAAATCTTCAAAGAACGTTCTAAAGACCTCCTAAGGACATTCATATATCCTAAGAATGTTCCAAAACATTTTCTGAAAATTTTGTGCTATCTCAGTACTTCCTACTTCTTACTGTCATTATAGAATGAGGTTAAAACATCTTTCAGATGCTGTCTGAGAACGGAGATACAATGTAATTCCTCTTAAAAATCAAACTTATCTGAAACTTGAGACGAACAATTCAACTTCTAACTCAATCCGGTATCGAGAGAACGAGCAGCTTTCAGAATTTCGATATTATGAATACGTAATAGTGATCCGGCGCATTCGAGTGTTTCGCAACGACAAAACGCGACAATCGGCTTCGTTTTTCTTCTATGTCGCGCGACGTCCGCGCCATATGTACATAACAGGAATTACGTGATTATTGCGCGAATCGTGAGCGTTCATTATTTTGTGTATTATGTAAATTAAGCGTATGGTAAACATCAATAATTATGTAAATGATGTTAATCATAAATAATTTACCAATGCGATCTCGAAAACGCAGTAGAGCGGCCGTGCGCGAGACAGCCGCCGCGCGTTTTCGAGAGAACGGAGCAGAGCAGAGCAGGGCGTGCGTTGCGTTGCGTTGCGCGACAAGGTTAGCGAGAGGACAGGGAGGGGGTGAAGTAGCGGTGGGACACGATACGTCAGCACAGCGCCTCGATATCGCGCGGAATCACGGACGGATCAAAATGGCGATTCAGTCGCTGTTTACGGTACGGGCGTATGGTTCATAGTGACGCGGCGGTGAGTATCGGTGCACGAGAGAGATTTTCTAACAGTGATACGTGCTTGTGCCATCGCAAATTGACGGATTTTCCTTGATATCGCAAGTATGGAGATTCATAGGCCGGAAAGGACGGCGGAGAAAGTGTCGGGCGGCATTGATGGTGACGCGATGGGCGTAACAGCGGAGCCGATGCCTGCGGCGTCATCGCTTCCAGTTCCGGAGCTGGTCCCGCAATCTATCGGCGAGAACACGAACAACGTCGACTACGCAAAAATGCGCGTAAGAATCTCTATTTTCACTAAAATATATACATATTGGAAGCAGCGCTGACGGTCGAAACACGAGGAAAGGATAGAACGATCCGTGCGTGGTGCACGATATGTCCACCCTTGTCGTATAATCCAATTAGAAAACTTAAGAGTAGACAAGTCGATTGAACGATAAAATGATATTAAATCGATGGAAAAATGAAGGCTATCAGATTGATATTGACATTAAATCGATACTTTTTAAATCGATAGAAAAAAATATATTATTGAATAGTGGAGAGAAATTTAATTCATAATTTGCTCTTCAATTATATTTATTATGTAAAATTGAAAATTTCCGTCTGTCATTTATAATTATGAATATATAAAATTACACGGCAAGTATTTACCATGTTTTTAATAAAAATAAATTAAATAAAATATTAATAGTTTAAATAAAAATTTAATCTTGTTTTTTTGCACAGCTATCGTCATAGCTAATGATATCATATTTTGTCGTTGATTGTGCAGCATTTTGTTTCGATCATTACGCGCATGCGTAAAAAGATTAAAAAGAGAAAGAATATCGGATAGCAGTCTGTCCTTCTCTCGTATCCCGCTTTATATCGTACCATAGGCAGTGTTGCTTTCAGTATGTATATATTTCAGTGATAATTTTATTGCCTACTATATTTGATTTTGCACTCGAAATCTCGCAAGTCAAATCTCGCTTCATCAAATGAGATGCACTGTGCTAAATATTCAGAGATTCAGAACTAATGGACGCAGGTGTCTGTAACACAAAAAGAAAGTTGCTAACTGAAGACACATGTATTGAAATAAAAATTAAATGTATATCAAAAGAGAAGAAAATTTTGTTCTTATTGATTTTTTTCTTTTTTCCCAACTGTTTAGCAGTTTAGACGTCAATTTGTAGAAACATTTACCTTATATAAAAATCTTACAGCATGCATATATGAAATCATCTGGACTTCTGAATATACTGAGCTTCTACAATTGAGTCCTATGGATTACAAGTAGAAAAACAGAATGTAAATGAAAATTTTGTATATGTGTATTGTCTAATTGCAAGATAAAGCAGAGAAGTACATTGATGCCATTTTTTCTGAATTTATCAACTACTGTAGTATATTTTTAATTTATTAAAAGGTGCTGAGGAAAACTTATGGAAGATTGGAAAGTGGCAGTGGTAGCGGTGATCAGGACGGTGGTCAACATGAGGATAGCATAGATATTGCAGCAAAAAAGAGAAGAACTCGCAGAGGCAAACCCAAACACAGAAAGTTGAAGCCATACTCAAAGCAACAGTTATCCTGTCAGCAACAGGTGCGCAGTAGATGTGTTGGGCAAATGGCAAAAACTGGCAGACAACCACCAGCTCCGTACAATACTACACAATTCCTTATGGCCGATCACAGTGATCTACCTGATCTCGAGCAGAAATTGTCGGGAGTCGCATCATTGGAAATACCTGCCATGTTTCAAAAGCCATCTGCGCCACCGCGTACCCGGGATTCGAGCTTTAGCGTTGATTCCGATGAAGATTACTTCTACTCGTCTCCAGAAGACGAAGAGGAATTCTTGACGAAGGAATTTTCGAACGCGTACGAGGACCTTCACGCAGAAAGATTGAACAATCTGTCAAAATCTCAACTGATACAAGAGTATTTGCAGTTAGAAACTAGAATGGATTTGTTGTCGAAGCGACAGCGTATGAAAAATATGCATCCAATAGAAGAAAGGGACACGGAAAACAAGATAGACCCGGAAATGGCCAAGAAACTGAAAATGTATCAGCAACGAATCGATGACCTGTTACAACAGAACGAGCAGCTGAAACGGGAGAATGAGATGCTACATACAAAAAAGAGGTTGCGCGCAAGCAGCTCCGAGTCTAGCGTCGACAGCGAAAGCGATAGTGACAGTTCTAGTAATAGCAACCAGACCAGATGCAGTTGCTCTCCCTCGAGTCCTGGAACGTCTCCTAAGAATGCTCATAAGCCTAGGTTAGATAATTTCAAAGCAGACAGTAAAGAAGACAGCTTCGACGTCGCTCAGAACGACAGTCCCCGAACGTGCACGACACCCACCAATCTTTCCAACGGTCATATGATCATGAACGAAACCAAAAGTTATCCTACTTAGATTTAAAGAGGATTTCTCCTTTACAAGCCGCGAGACGCGAAAAATCACTTGTGTTGTTGTTACGTTCAATATCGTGCCCTTTGTAGAATGCTTCGAACACGTATTCTTCGACACACTTGGGAACATAGTCGAGTTCAATGGTAAGATTTGTTTCTAATTAATTTCTTTAGTAATGACTTAAAATGACTGCGCGATTTGCTGTAAAATGAGGGAATAAACATATCTAAATTGCATTCTAAAACATTCTTTTTGAGGGAAATTTGGAATACAACCTAGATTTCTGCTTTATTGCTATTTGATAAATCTTGAAAAATAGAATACAAAATATAATTTGTATTTGCTATGAATCAGAAAAAATGCAATAGCTTAAATCGATAAGAATTTAATATTTTATCAGAAGTTTTTTTTAGGCATACCACTTAAGAGATTAATTTTCGTAAAAGGTAAATTCCTTCATTGGATTGTGTCTCAAAATGTATTGGATGAAATGTGTTCCAACCATTTTGCAAACGAGTCTACACAAAGCTCGGAAGTTACTGACTGCGTTTAGAAAATATAATAATTGAGCTCCACCAGAGATACATTCTAAATCTATCATAAATCTAAAATTGTATTAAAAAATGTCTTTATAAATTACAGGCAATAATCATTGATTGTTAACTGTCATTTTACTGAGTCGCCTCTTTCTCATTCGGTGTCACTGAACACTGAAAATGAAGTTAGCGACATAAATTCTCTTGACTACATTGTATGACTGTATAAATGTATTGTTAGTATTTGGCTGCTTACGGGGACCCGAATGGGAAGGATAACAATCTCACAAGACGGTAATGTCCGAGCTTTGATTATGATGCTCCCATTAGAAGCCATGCTATATGCTACTATATCGATTCTATGTATGTCTTAACAACTAAAAAACGCGTTTTCCGATCAGTTGTAATTATGTGACGTTCGAATCTTACTCCTGATATCTTCTAAATCTCATTAGACCATCTTTTAATATCCTGTCACAATCCGCTGGTTTATTCTTCTTTTTCCCCTTAAGACTGTCTTGCGTATAAATATGTAACAATACGATAAATATAGGATTAATATTCCATAGGAGAACCACTCTTTCGCGTCTGTACTATTCTGTTATCTGCTTGGCGAAGTTTATATTCACATTCACTATACGTATTTTGCGCGTCCGCTTCAGTCTATCCCCTTTAATCTAGAGTTATTCTATACAATTCACGTCATTTCAGCCAGAGTTTTTCCTTTTTGCGTATTGCCAGTTATGAATGCTGAGTTTATAAATTGACGGTCTACAGACCATCAACTAACACAGACCTATGTACATACACACATAGGCAAAATGGAAGGTACAATTGTTTACACGCATCGGAAGTATTATATTAGCAGTAAGCTATGTATACATATATATATATAAATATATATGTATATGTATGTATCTAATACAATGAGATTGTGATGCACACTATATTGTAGAAACTTTACGATCTTTGTACAATTGTATAGTTTTAGAGTAAGACAAAATGTTAGTTTATGGTCTGAAAGTGTAAGATATATATAAAGATGTTTTACATTTCCGATTTTTAATAAATCTTAAGTTTCGTGTTCTTCGAATACTTTCACATTTTTACGAGTAGGAGTATCGTGTGTTTTGCAAATAGTCCACCTATCCTTCTCTGATTCCCAGAAGATCTTATACACGTCTCTTTCTTTATTATTCTATAGAATTTTAAATTTCTTAGAAAAAAAAAGTTTAACCAAGTTTCTGACTTTTACTTCATTGGAAGAAAAATATATTAAAAATTAATCAAAGCATTGGCAGATGAAATTTTAAAAGAAGAAATATAAATGATCACACACTCTATTAAGACAAAAATATTCTTTCGGCATGAATATATATATATATATATATATATATATATATATATATATACAATATTTAAATTTATATTTGAAATATTACAGCATCAAGTACAAGACGCGCGTGGCCAATTGGAATGTTCAAATTATCATATACATGAATATTGAGTTTGAACTCACTCGTTGCAAAACAGCCTTAAGAGATTGAACTGTGACCAACTTCATGGCGCGATAAATTGAAAAACACGGAGAGCAGCGCTCGGTAGAATTTGTGATTGGAGTTACGGAGGTATTTACAGTCGTACAGACAATATATTATGAAAGCAATGTCTCATCATTACGTAGTGACGGCTCACAAACCGACAGCTGTCAATGCTTGTGTGACCGGTAAGTAATTAAATTTCACAAAATTACGAGGCGAAAGTTATATCGCTGCATAATTGTATTGTATTTTTGCAAGGTAATTTCACGTCACCTACTGATTTGAATCTGATACTGGCTAAAAATGTGCGTTTGGAGATATATCTCGTGACTCCGGAAGGTCTGAGACCTCTGAAAGAAGTTGGGATCTATGGTAGAATAGCTGTCGTAAAATTCTTTAGACCGCCGGTAAGGTTATGGGATTGCTTTCTAGAATACCCTATATAACTCACATGTAGCTATATGTTTTGTTTACATAGTTCTGGTATCTCTGATTAATAGATCACAGAAAGAAGCATTGTTATCTTAATTTTTCATAACTTCTGTTGACTAGATCTTAATACTTTAATTTTATTTATAATCTACAATGTATCTCTCTCATATAGGTATCGCAGACAATTATGTACGACAAATAATATTAGATGATAAGTCTTCTCAAAGATATCCTTTATACAAATTCAAAAATATTTACTAATTTATACACAAAATTTACTACTATATATGATATGTATATAAACATCATATTTTATCATATATATCATAGTCTTAAATTATAAAAGTCGAAAGTATATCTTACTCGAAGTTTAAATTGGTTTGAATTATGTGGTAATATTTAAAAAATTTATTTCTTTAGCATGAAAAAAAGGACCTTCTGTTTTTATTGACGACACGATACAATGCTATGATTCTGGAATGCATTGGCGAAGGAGAAGATATAGAAATTATAACAAAAGCACATGGGAATGTCGCAGATCGTATTGGAAAGGCTTCTGAAACTGGCATTAAAGCTGTAATTGATCCTAAAGCACGAGTTATTGGTCTTAGATTATATGATGGCCTTTTCAAAATTATACCTTTGGATAAGGATAATCCGGAACTTAAGGCATCTTCGATTCGAATGGATGAACAGCAAGTGCAAGATGTCAATTTTCTACATGGGTGTGCTAATCCTACCTTAATTTTAATTCATCAAGATATTAACGGTAGACACGTGAAGACACACGAGATTTCTTTGAGAGACAAAGAGTTTGTAAAGATACCATGGAGACAGGATAACGTGGAGCGAGAAGCTATGATGGTCATCCCAGTACCTTCTCCTATGGGTGGTGCAATAGTGATAGGACAGGAGAGTATTTTATATCATGACGGTACGACATATATTGCTGTGGTGCCTCCAATTATAAAGCAAAGCACTATTACCTGCTACGCCAAAGTGGATAATCAGGGGCTAAGATACTTGCTGGGCGATATGGCTGGTCATTTGTTTATGTTATTCTTGGAGCAAGAGAAGAAATCCGATAGTACACAAGTGGTGAAAGATTTAAAAGTGGAGCTGCTGGGTGAAATTAGTATACCAGAATGTATAACTTATTTGGATAATGGCGTGATATTTGTCGGCAGCCGCCTCGGTGACTCCCAATTGATAAAATTAATTACAAAGGCAGATGAGAATGGCTCTTATTGCGTGCCGATGGAAACTTTTACTAATCTCGCACCTATCGTCGATATGGCCGTAGTAGATCTGGAGAGACAGGGTCAGGGACAGATGGTTACATGTTCCGGCGCCTTCAAAGAAGGCTCCCTTAGAATTATTAGAAACGGCATCGGCATCCAAGAGCACGCGAGTATCGATTTGCCGGGCATCAAAGGTATGTGGGCTCTAAAGGTCGGCGGTGGAAATTTCGATAATACACTGGTCCTGTCATTCGTTGGCCAGACTAGAATTCTGACTTTGAACGGCGAGGAGGTCGAAGAGACTGATATACCGGGTTTCGTCGCGGACGAGCAAACGTTTCACACGGGCAATGTTACGAACGATCTATTTATTCAAATAACTCCAACGTCTGCCAGATTGATCTCACACGAGACCAAAACAGTCGTTTCTGAGTGGGAGCCGGATAATAAACGAACTATTAGCGTGGTAGCTTGTAACGGCACGCAAGTTCTTTGTGCCACAGGCAATGATTTGTTTTACATGGAAATAATATGCAATCAAATCGTGCCCAAGGGATTCGCTACTTTGCAGCACGAAGTGGCGTGTCTGGATATTTCTCCCTTAGACGGCATCAGCGAGGCCAAGATCGTCGCTGTAGGTCTTTGGACGGACATATCTGTCCGTATTTTGACTCTACCTGCTTTAGAGGAGATCAACAAGGAGCTCCTCGGAGGAGAGATTATACCCAGGTCCATTTTAATGACCTGCTTCGAGGGTAACACGTACTTGCTTTGCGCACTGGGCGATGGTAGTATGTATTATTTCACTCTACACAAACAAAATGGCATATTATCGGATAAGAAGAAAGTCACTTTAGGAACTCAGCCCACCGTTTTGCGAACCTTCCGTTCTCTGTCCACGACAAATGTGTTCGCATGTTCGGACAGACCTACGGTGATTTATTCCTCGAATCATAAACTCGTTTTCAGCAACGTCAACCTCAAAGAAGTGAATCACATGTGCTCATTGAACGCGGAATCGTATCCCGACAGCCTGGCGTTGGCGACAGATAGTACTGTCACCATCGGCACTATTGACGAGATCCAGAAGCTGCACATAAGGACAGTGCCGCTCGGGGAATCTCCACGTAGAATCGCTTACCAAGAGAGTTCGCAAACCTTCGGTGTGATTACAATGCGCGTCGACGTACAGGAGAGCAGCGGCGTGAGCATCGTCAGACACTCCGCGTCCACCCAGGCTGCTTCTACGTCCAGCAGCAGCCACATCGCGTCGCACAACAAACCCAGTGGCCATACGGCCAGCGAGATCGGCCAGGAGATCGAGGTTCACAATCTTCTCATCATCGATCAGCATACTTTCGAGGTTCTGCATGCGCACACCTTGATGCCCACTGAGTACGCGTTATCGCTGATCTCAACGAGACTAGGTGAAGATCCCACTTCGTATTTTGTAGTCGGTACCGCGTTCGTGAATCCTGACGAGACTGAACCGAAGATGGGTAGGATATTGTTGTATCATTGGAGCGACGGGAAGCTCACGCAAGTTGCGGAGAAGGAAATCAAGGGATCGTGTTATTCTCTGGTCGAATTCAATGGAAAACTTTTGGCGAGCATCAATAGCACCGTACGCCTATTCGAGTGGACAGCTGAGAAAGAACTCAGACTTGAATGTAGCCACTTCAATAACATTATAGCGCTTTATCTGAAGACTAAAGGTGATTTTGTTCTGGTGGGAGACCTTATGAGATCTTTGACGCTATTACAATATAAAACTATGGAAGGTAGTTTCGAGGAGATAGCCAGAGATTACAATCCCAATTGGATGACTTCCATCGAGATATTAGACGATGATACCTTCTTAGGTGCTGAGAATTGCTTCAATCTCTTTGTGTGTCAAAAGGATAGGTACGTCAAATGTATAAAAAGTACAATTTCTTACTTAGCTTTTGTATATTCAAGATAACGTTGAATATTGATAGAAATTGTTCTTTCTAGTGCTGCGACTTCCGAGGATGAAAGACAGCAGATGCAGGAAGTAGGGCAGTTTCACCTGGGCGACATGGTTAATGTTTTTCGACATGGTTCGTTGGTGATGCAAAATTTGGGAGAATCGAGTACACCTACCCTAGGTTGCGTCCTGTTTGGAACCGTCAGCGGTGCTATCGGCTTGGTGACACAAATTCCATTTGCTTTTTACGAGTTCCTGCGCAATCTCGAGGATCGACTGAACAGCGTGATCAAAAGTGTGGGCAAAGTAGAACACAATTTCTGGAGAAGTTTCAACACGGAATTGAAAATCGAGCAATGCGAAGGGTTTATAGACGGTGATCTGATAGAAAGTTTTCTCGATTTGAACCACGATAAGATGGCAGAAGTTGCAATGGGCCTTATGGTAATTTAATCACATATGTGTTGTTTCTTAAGGGGATGCTGGATGACGAACTCGAACAATGTCGATAATGCAGAGACGATCGTTACTAACATAATTATTCTATCCTTTTCGTATTTCTTGTATACAGAACTTACATGAATGTGTGTTGCTTTGTTTTACTATATTTAACGAAAAATTTAACCATATATATGTAGAAATCTTTCTATAAACTTTTTCGATATTCTTAAGCTTCCAAATGTAGATGCGAAGGTAAAGCAATGTTCTTAAAAATTTTTTTGTTTGGAACATTCACACTTTCAGTCTGTACAAGCTGCGGAACTTTTGGATCAGACAAATATTACGTTAACAGCTTGAGATTTTACATAAAAAATTTGTTGTTTGTTATATATCGAGCAATGCTCCTATTTATTTACGTACTTTCATTGTGTAAAAGCATTTGTAATTCTGCGTAACCAATATGACGTCAGCTTTGCAGAAAAATGTCAGTGTTCTGTCGGTAAAGTTTTCAGCTTCAGCATCCTCTTAATAACGCTAAAGCGTTTCGTAATCTACTGTATACGTGTATGTGTGTTGGGTTAACATTTTAGATCAATATTTGTAAATCTCAGTGCATTATATTTTCCCCACAGATCGATGACGGCAGTGGTATGAAGAAAGAAGCAACAGTCGATGATCTTGTAAAAGTAGTTGAGGATCTTACGAGGATACATTAAACGAATATCATATAAATAAGCGATATTTCAAGTCTGTGCAGTCTATGAGGATACTAGAAGAGAACATAAGCGAAGAACGAAAGTGTTTATACAGTTGTCTTTTTGTTATCGCTGTGGTACTTGAGAGCAATATGTGTGACGTAAGTTTTCTCCTTCTCTCTCTCTCTCTCTCTCTCTCTCTCCCGATCAACTTCTAGAGATTTTTTCATATGTATCTGGAAACAATGCGTGTTAGCGATATATCGTTAGCGATCTTAAAGTCGCAGGAAAAATTAGTGTACCCTTTACTTTCATCTCTGTTGCACCGTTAGCACCCATGGCAAGCTATATTTTTTAGAATTTGTGCATATGACGTAGAAAATGCAATTAGGGCAACATCCGCTAATAAACTTCAAAACGTGCTCGCATTTGTAGTACCTTTATATCTTTGTAAGATTGAGTGTAAATAAAAATGATGATCCATTTTGAGGTAACGCTCTGTCTCGTCATTCAACAACAATTGGCGTTCATTTGTTGGCATTGAGAGTGGCCTTCAGCGTGTCAGGATCGAATAACCAGCTGCGTAGATCCTCTACGCCTTGCCCGGTCATTCCGCTAGCTTCTAACACAGTGATCTTTTGCGTCACTTCTCTTTGTAAACGCACGTATTGCAACATGAGCAAAGCTTCGTTTCTCATCTGACGATACGAAACATCCATTTTGTTCAGGATGAGTGCTACCTTAACATTTTGCAATCTCGGCTCCACGAGGAAAGAATAAAGTAACACACCCGCAGCGCTTATTTGACAGAGATTGCTAGTATCCACTACATAGATTATTTTGTGAATCTAGCAATAAGTTTTGTAATGATTACTTATTGTATAAGAACATCGTTGGTTTATCTCGGCGCGATTTTCTTGTTTACCTTGTCGAAATAATGCTTCCATATTGGTGCCATGTTACCTCCAATTTCTTTAATTACCATATCGAATTCACCGGTATCATTTTTTACAGTAAATAAATTTATCCCATTGGTGGGCACAGTATGAGTTGCGTCGTCAATATCGTCTCCTTGGAGACTTTTCATGAGAAGAGTCTTGCCTGATTTAAATGGTCCAAGGCATAAACACATTTCTTATGTATTTAAAATTTCGTCGCTTATTGTTTATTTTGTACTAAAACGTGTTTGTGAATTGTGCAACTAACATATGCCACAGCTCTTTATTGAAACTTATAGGGTTGTAAGCAGATATTGATTTAACAGGTTCGTCGCCAAAACGACATATCCTCACTGACGATGAGATAAAATGATAATTAAGGCGTATTATTGCAAAAAATCTAAAAAGATTCAACGATTCAACGGTAATTTTGTATAAAAAAAAGTTCTATGTTTAACTATTGGGCACTATCAAAACATCTTAAAATTTGAATTTCAAACTTTTTTCCTCTTTTATTCTCTTAATTTTTTAAAATATTTTAAAGAATAATTTTTTACGAATTTTTTTTACAATAATTTTTGCGATTGTACGCCATAATTATACGTTTTATAAAAATTTTACTCGTGAATTATAGTTTGTTATTTAAAAAAATTAATACAGTATGGGGAGATTATCTTAAGTTCGTTATAAATTAATTATATTTACATTTACAAGATATATATAGATATGAACATCATATACATTTTTCTAGGTGCGAAAAATATATTATTCAAATAGCACTTATATAATTTTAACTTTCTACTGAATAATTTTGATCAATGAAACATAATGATTAACATTTTCTATTCATCTATAAAAAAAGAAGATATAATAAAACTTTCTTTGTTACATTTCTAATTGGGAACTCAGGGAAATTTAACGTAATAGAGGATTAGTGTCGACAAATCACAAACTAGGTAATGGCAGTAATCTCCTAACACTGTACATTTCTAAATTTCTTGAACAAATAGCACGTATACGACATGTGATTTTTGTCATATATAGTACATAAATATCTATATATATATATATATATTATATATATATAT